CCCCAGCCTCGCTGCCACCTTGCAGTTAGATCTCAGACTGCTGTGCTAGCAATGAGGGAGGCTCCATGGGCGTGGGACCCTCTGGGCCAGGTGTGGGATATAATATCCTGGTGTGCCGTTTGCTAAGACCCTTGGTAAAGTGCAGTATTAGGGTGGGAGTTACTCGATTTTCCAGGTGTTGTGTGTCTCAATATCCTTTGGCTAGGAAAAGGAATTCCCTTCCCCCTTGCACTTCCCAGGTGAGGCAATGCCTCTCCCTGCTTCAGCTCTCACTGGTCAGGCTGCACCTGCAGACCAGCGCCAACTGTCCGACACGCCCCAGTGAGATGAACCTGGTACCTCAGTTGAAAATGCAGAAATCACCCGTCTTCTGTGTCGCTCACACTGGGAGCTGGAGGCTGGAGCTGCTCCTATTTGGCCATCTTGGGCACGCCCCCCGCCCCCCCCCCATTTAACCTTTAGATAGTATAATAGTTCTCTGTGAATAGGACCTCATTGTATTAGCCTCAAATATTATATTTCCTTTATATTTCTTCTTAGGGAATACTGATAAAGCAATTGGTTGTGATAGTGCCTTTTATTTCCATGCCAACTTAGGCATCCACCTTTTTGTAGTTTTTCAGAACATGGGCTTAAAGAGAAGGGAAAGAGAGGAACAGTTACTGATTACTTTCTTTGTGCCATGTATTATGCTGGGAGCTTATGTAGTATTTAAATCTTATAGCAAGACAGGTAATAATGTCTCCATTTTATAAATGAGAAATGGAGGCTTAGAAAAGTAAGTAACTTGCTCATAAAGGGACTAAAGCTATGAATTTAAGCCAAAACCCATGTTCTTTGTATTGCTGCCTATAATTTAAAATATATAATTTAAATAAGATGTAAGGCAGGCTGTTCCTAACGAAGATTTTTGGAAAACATTAAAAGTCAAGGTTGTATTAATGGAGGTGGCATGGTGTGCTAGAAAGAACAGCAAATTGGTAATCAAGAGAGTTGGATTACAATCTGTTCCTGTCTGACTTTGGGGGTATAATTTAATTTAGTCTCTAGGTTTTAGTTTTTTCATCTGCAAATGAGAGGATTGGTCTGAACTTTTCATTTCATAAATTGCATTTTCTTAACTCTTTATAATTATCCATCTGATTTATTTTAAATTTGATTTATTTTACAGTTTTTTTATGTTACTTTAGTGTGTGCTTTTGCAAGATAGAAAGTATGATTCCATATTTCGGGAAGATAGAAGGTATTATTCTGTAAGTTGTCCAATGGCACAGAGCTAGTAAATAATGGAACAACCCATGCCTGTCTTACTCAAAAGCCCAATTCTTTGCCTTCACACTATACTGATTATTTCCCTAAGGAGATTCTTGTATAAGTATGTTTTGTAGTTTACGTAGTAGAAATACTAGATAAGCTTTTTTAAAATGAGGGCTGGGTATGGTGGCTCACACCTGTAATCTGAGCACTTTGGGAAGCCGAGGGAGGTGGATTGCTTGAGCCCTAGAGTTCGAGACCAGCCTGGGCAACATAGTAAGACCTCATCTCTATAAAAATAAAAAAAAAAATAAACTTTTTAAAGATGAAATATTCCCAAATAAATGGAATTTTATTTGAAAACATGTTATAATGAATAAAACCTGTTTATATATATCAGTTAACTGATACTTAGCACAGGCGCAGGTATAGGTAAGTGTTCGATTTTTTTTCATGAAATTGAAATGTTCATTTATTTTACGTATAAGATTAATCTGAGAAAATTGAATGTTTTCATTTATATTTGTTTAACAAATATTACAAAATTCTGCTTATTAATGTGTACAGATAATACCTTCATGTATTCCCACACATAAATATGTGCCTCTACTATTGTATTACAGACCCATGAATACACTGACTCTAACAGGCCAGTTCAGTTTTGCTGAAGTTCACTCCTGGGTGGTTTTTTGTCTGCCTGAAGTTCCAGAAAAACCTCCAGCAGGAGAATGTGTGACATTTTACTTTCAGAACACCTTTCTAGATACACAACTTGAAAGTATCTACAGGTAAATCAAACTTATTACTGGTTCACAAGTGTCATTTTATATAAATGTAGCTTCTAAGTTTTCCTTTAAGTTAGAAGTTATTTGTGAGTAATCTGATTGAAAATCTATACTGTTCAAGATAATCTATTGAAAAACAAATCAAATTAGTAAGTTTGGAAAAGTGATTGAGTAAAGATGTATATGCAAAGATCAACACATTTCTTAAGTTCCCAACAATAACAATAACTAGTGAGAAAATAAATTATTTTAAAAGACCCTTTCAGAGTAGCAATAACAATAACAAAATAGCCAGATAAAATCTGTAGGAATATTCTTAATCAGAAATATGTAGAAGTTACATGACAAAAACTGTAAGATTTTATTGACATAAATAACTTGATTAAATGGAGTAATATATTCTATAGTCATCAATATGAAGACATTGTAAAAGACGACAGTCCTCCCCAAATTGATTTGAATATTTATCCTAATTCCAATAAAAACTCCAGTTGAATTTCTTTATGCACAAATATAACTTGGCTTAGAAGTTTAGGGCTTAGAAAATGCAGGCTTTTGGCAGCTATTCTGATACAGTTTGGAGGTCATTATATTGTTTTACACTCTTCTCAAGCTTCTAGTTACACCCGTCGCTCCTCCACCATTACCTCTAACTCATCTTCTATAAGTTCCAATAATTCCTCTCAACTTCTCAATATAGTAGAAGCTAAACTTTTCCTTTTTTTTTTTTTAACCTGTCTCTGAATGTGAAATGGCCTACTTCTTGGGCAAGGCTAATTTCTCTACATCTACCCATTGAGCTTGGATCCTCCTGCTTCTTCAGAGTCTTTCCTTTTTCATTCTTTCTGACATCTGTAGGTTGTTTTTTGTTTGTTCCTTTTGTTTGTTTTGAGACAGGCTCTCATTCTGTCACCCAGGTTAGAGTGCAGTGGCATGATCTTGGCTTACTGCAGCCTCAACCTCCCAGGCTCAAGTGATCCAGCCACCTCAGCCTCCTGAGTAGCTGGGACCACAGGCATTCACCAACATGCCCAGCTAATTTTTTTATTTTCTGTAGAGACAGGGTTTCACCATGTTGGTCAAACTGGTCTCAAACTCCTGAGCTCAAGCAATCCTCCTGCCTTGGCCTCCCAAAGTGCTGGGATTATAGGTGTGAGCCACCACACCTGGCCTGTAGGTTGCTTTTGTTTTCTGTGTGTGTGTTTTTGTTTTTGTTTTTGTTTTGCTTTGTGTTGTCTGGGAGAGAGCTCATTATTCTTTCTCTGGCCTCTTAAGGGTCTTTCCCTAAGCAGATAATTGTGGTATTCTCCTAAGTTCTCTCAACTCAGGAGCAAGAAGTAGAATACCTTTTGCTTCTCTTGTTATTTTAAAATAATAATGGTATTGTTCTAAAAACATAATTTTACCTCAGAATTCAGCCTTTTAGAACCAAGAACTCTTCAGAAATCTAATTGGTTTTAACATCCATTCTATGGAGGTTTTTCACTATACCGTCCAAGGAAGCTTATCTGTGTCTAAACCTGTAATAATTACTCCCATTTTGAACTACCACAGTGAACCTCACACATTAATCATAGCAGACAATTCAATATGCCCCTAGCATATTATATACTTTTATAATAGCACACCTTTGCTCTTTATCATTCTGTGGCTTTGAATATTTTTTCTTAAGATTCAAAACTGTTTATCCTTTAAGGTCCAGCTTAATAGCTACTTTTTTTTTTTTTTTTTAAGAAACAGGGTCACACTGTGTTGCCCAAGCTGGTCTCAAACTCCTGGCTTCAAGTAATCCTCCTGCCTCAGCCTCCTCAGTAGCTGGGTTTATAGGTGCAAGCTACCGTACCCAGCAGTAGCTACATTTTTGAAGCCTTCCTTGATTCTCTTCTCTGTTTCCATAGCATTTTTTTCTTACTTGTCTGTGATATTTATTGTTATCTGCTTAAAGTATATAATTATTTTTTATTTTTTATTATATATTTTTTGAGACAGAGTCTCGCTCTGTCACCAGGTTGGAGTGCCGTGGCGCGATCTTGGCTCACTGCAACCTCCACTTCCTGGGTTCAAGTGATTCTCCTGCCTCAGCCTCCCGAGTAGTTGGGACTACAGGCATGTGCCACCATGCCCAGCTAATTTTTGTATTTTTAGTAGAGATAGGGTTTCACCATGTTGGCCAGGATGGTCTCGATCTCTTGACCTCATGATCTGCCTGCCTTGGCCTCCCAAAGTCTGGGATTACAGGCATGAGCCACCACGCCTGGCCCCTAATAATTTTTATATAAACTTATTTCTCTACGTTAAACTTTATTTTTGTGGACAATCTAATTTTAAATATTTTTGTATGTAGCCTCCAAGGACCTAAAACATAGTTTTGCACATAATAGATGCTCAACAGATGTTTTTCAGATGCCTGAATAAAATATATGTGTATGGAGGTAGTGTAGACGTATGTGCTTTGCAGGCAGATGTACTTAGATTTGAATCCTGGCTCTGTGACTTACCAGCTATGTGACCCTAGCTGGTTGCTTAACTCTCTGAGCTTCAGTTTTCTTTTCTGAAGAATGAAAATAATAGCACTTACTTTATTGAATTTTTATGATGATTAAAAGAAGATAACCATTTGAGTCATTCTATAGTACCTGGCACTATGTGTTTACTAAAGATCATCTGTTAAGATTAAAGACTAATAGAAATGTCATGATTTCTAAAACACAATTGAGATCAAAGTAGTAAGTGTATTATTCATTTCTAGAAAAAAAAAAATTATCTTTTTTTTTGTTTGTTTTGAGACAGGGTCTTACTCATCAGCCCGGGCTGGAGTGCAGTGTCGCAGTCTCGGCTCACTGCAACCTCCTCCTCCCAGGCTCAAGTGGTTCTCATGACTTAGCCTCCTGAGCAGCTGGAATTTTAGGAGTGTGCTACCACGCCTGGCTAATTTTTGTATTTTCAGTAGAGACAGGTCTCACCATGGCCAACATGAGGTCTTGAACTCCTGACCTCAAGAGATCTGCTTGCCTTGGCCTCCCAAAGTGCTGGGATTACAGGCGTGAGCCACTACACCAGGCCAAAGCAATTATCATTTGTATATAGCTAGTTGGCATACATCATTTGTGTGTGTGTGAAAACCAAATGAAAAGGCATTAACTATATGAAAGATGATATATATTAATTAGGAAACTTGGTCATCGTAAAAAGGAACCAAATGCAAGCAACTTAACCAAATAAAATAAATTTATCATCTCACATAACTCAAAAGTCTAGCAATAATCTGCCTCATGCACAACTGGATCAGTGGCTTAATTGATGTCATCAAGATTTTATCCCATGTTCAGTTCTGCTTTTATCTTTTCTTGGCTTTACCATGCAGTGTTATGGCCACCAGCAGTTCCTAGAATCCAGTTGTATATATTTTCAGCTGCTATAGAACTTCTCTTGCCCACTAGCTCCAGTAAAAATCCCAGGATTGAGTATCACTGTCAAGCCATGAACCACTGTGGTCAGGGGTATGGAATGTACTGCTCAATGCTTCCTCCTGAAGTCCCATAAATAGATTGAGACCAATGCCACTGAAACTATATGGACTGAAGAGGGCAAGAGAAAGAGGAGTGGTACCCTAAAGAAAAATAACGATCCTGGCCGGGCGTGGTGGCTCATGCCTGTAATCCCAGCACTTTGGGAGGCCAAGGCGGGCAGATCACAAGTTCTGGAGATCGAGACCATCCTGGCCAACATGGTGAGATGCCATCGCTACTAAAAATATAAAAAAATTAGCTGGGTGTAGTGGCGCCTGCCTGTAATCCCAGCTACTTGGGAGGCTGAGGCAGGAGAATCGCTTGAACCCAGGAGGTGGAGATTGCAGTCAGTCGAGATCGCACCCCTGCATTCCAGCCTGGCAACAGAATGAGAGTCTGTCTCAAAAAAAGAAAAGAAAAATAACGGTCCTCTGACCATAAGCAGTGGCATTGGATGCTGAGCATGAAAAACAGCAGATTTCATTCTTACATATTTGATATCAGATTTCTTTTAAGGATAAAGCATATAGTCACATTGTAATTTGTATGATTACATGAAAGAAAAACACACTTATGTAAGTAAGCAATTCTAAGTGCATTTTATATATGTATATATATGAGGTTGGCTGTTGGAAATATTAGTGAAAAGTGAAGGTAAAAGTTGTTCTAAATGAAGTTTTTATACAAATTGTCACATCTTTAGGAGGCATATATCTTTTGTTTAGTTTTACGAGTATATTCAGAAGCTGAATTAATATAATAGTAAAGGATTACATGTTTAAATTTGCTTTAATGATATATGTATACAAAAGAAATCTACAGTCAAATGAAATCTATACACTAAGTACTAATCATAAAATATATATGTACTGGACTATTTCCTTCTACAGCTATTCTTTTAAAAAATATATTAATTTTATAGAAAAGGAGAGGGAGTTTTTAAATCTGACAACATTTCTACTATCTCCATCCTAAAAGATGTGCTTTCTAAAGAAGCTACAAAAAGGAAAATTAACCTCAACATATCATACGGTAAAGAAACAAACAAAATTAATAATTCTTTCTGATGTTTATTTTGTGTTGTTGTTACATTATTAATGTTTCTGATCAAAGTGATTTATGTAACTGCATCCGGTCACCTCCTTCTAGAGATAAATGAAGTATCAGTCCAACACACTTTAAAGCTAATCCACCCAAAGCTGGAGTACCAGTTGCTTTTGGCTAAGAAAGTGCAGTTAATTGATGCTTTAAAAGTAAGTACATGTGTTGTCGTGGACTGGTGATTATTATTTTAAGTCACAGGATTTCTAAAATTATCGTTACTTTAACATTACATTGGATTGAATTTTGAATATTAAGGTGCTTCTGTTTTTAATTTTAAATAAGGAATTGCAGATTCATGAGGGAAATATGAACTTTTTGATACCAGAATATCGCTGTATTCTAGAAGAGGCAGATCACCTACAGGAAGAATACAAAAAGCAACCTGCACATCTTGAAAGACTCTATGGTTAGTGGACCATTCTAGAATACCTTAACATATTTCTTTTCAACTGGCTATTTCCCAAGGATCATATAAGAGAAGCTGGGCAGAAAGATAAAAAGATTACATCAGTCATGATTCATGAACCAGTCATGAATCAGTAAATTGGTTGACAACCAATTTATTGCACAGGATATTTCTGTCTTTTGTCAAGCCACTTTTAATATTCAATTCTTTTACTTGATAAAATACAAGTATATTAAGAAATAAGTATACCGTGATGAATTAATCTATATATATGAACAAACCTGGTATAAAATGAATGTAATCTGTGAACCTTTAGAGCTTAGACTGTATTTCACATAAATATTTGTCATGTTTTGTTGCTATTGTGAAATATAAAAATGCAGCATTTAAAAATTTTAAGGCAAAATTTAATAAAGGATATACAGTATTCGTGTTGTGTCAATTTACAATTCCAAACTTACTTTGGTGGTGAGAAGTTGAATGTTTCACAAATTGTACTGAAACAGAGTAAAGGAGGTGAGGGGAGGGAAAGAAGGAGTGAGGAAGGAAGAAACAGCTTAAGACAAACAATTTTATTAGCAATCTTTACATAAGACCTGTTGTATATAGCACACTATTTACACTGTCTTCATAATCAGGTGAGATATTTAATCCTTACAATAGCTCTGCAACGTTAAGTGGTATTGTCTTCATTTTTCATACACTTTAACTGAAATCTGAGTCTAAGGAATTTGTTGTCACCTAGCAAGCTAGTGATAATGCCTGTATTAGAATCTTCTCACTCCAAAATGCATGCCTTTTACACTATGCCAAGTCTTCCATAGTCACTGTAGAGCCAATTGGTATCATTAGTCCACACTGATCCTTAAGCCTGCCTACTGAATTTCTTATTACATATCCAGAGACTTTCTCGCAAACTGTGGCTGTATTTAATGTCTTAACCTTTATTACATGGCAAGCACATGATCTCTTTTATCCTTGTAATAACTTATGAGATTGGCTGTACATAACATCACTGATTGCAAAATCCAGACAGCTTTGTAAATCAAAGTTTTTTTCATAACTAATTTGACAGCAAAATCTTGACTTAATCTGAATTAATTTAATAACAAAACTTGACTTAACCTGACAGGAGGTTTTCTTTTTTTTTTCTTCTTCTTCTTTTTTTTTTTTTTTTGAGACAGAGTCTTGCTTGGTCCCCAGGCTGGAGTCAGTGGTGCAATCTCGGCTCACTGCCACCTCTGCCCTCTGGGTTCAAGCAATTTTCCTGCCTCAGCCTCCTGAGTAGCTGGAATTACAGGTGCGTGCCACCATGCCCAGCTAATTTTTTTGTACTTTTAGTAGAGACGGGGTTTCACCAGATTGGCCAGGCTGCTTTTAAACTCCTGACTTCGTGATCTGCCCACCTTAGCCTCCCAAAGTGCTGGGATTACAGGAGTGAGCCACGGTGCCCAGCCCGAAGTTATATCTTTTTTATTCCACTTAGTGCAAATATTCATCCATATATTTTGTGACAGAAATAGTACTATGTTTTGCTATTGAATGCTGCCACTCAGTCCCCTTGGGGTTAATACTATAGTATATTCCTTTCATTATCTTCCTAAAATAGGAAAAATTCTGAAATACATCTTGCATCAAGCTTTTTGGATAAAGGATTTACAGCTTGAATAATTCCTATTTTACATATGAGAAAACTCAAGGCGAAATGATTTACCCAGATCTTTGAACTTAGGACTATTTGCCTTCAAGTCAAATCCCAAGAATGGTCAACATGTAGATGGAATATTTTAATTCAGATAAGCTGTTAAAAATAGAATCTGCCTACACTATGTCAAAATGGTCTGCTTGGTGGAAAAAAGATACCACTTGTTGTGATGTTATATATACTGATAGCAGTTCAAAAATGACCAGTAGTTGATTGTCTGAATTAATAGCTTGTAATCAGTTGTTAAGAGGGTTATTAGGCAAACTATTTATATCTTGAAACTTGTTTTAAAATCCCCCCAAAATGAATATTTTTAAAAACATCATGGCTTTTAGGTTTGTGTATGTAAATAATGGAATTACAGGTGCTTAAAAATAGATTATCAAGCAATTACTTTAGTGAAATACTGTGTAATTAAATATAACTAATCACTGACAGGAAATTTATGTTTTTTCTTTATAGGCATGATCACTGATCTTTTCATAGATAAATTTAAGTTCAAAGGCACCAATGTAAAAACTAAAGTACCCCTTCTATTGGAAATTCTGGACAGTTATGACCAAAATGCATTGATTTCATTCTTTGATGCAGCATGAAATACAAATAAGGTAAAGTCCCAAAGAAGTGGTCTGTTTAAATGAAAAATGTTAAAACAGAATTAGAAGTTAACTGTGTACATACTTTAATTTCAACTGCTTTTTTATATCTAAAAATATTTGAGATATAATGGCTTTTTAAAGTAATGCTTCTGTTTCTTTTGACAAGTTGAACTTTCTAAAAGAGTTTTTATTTTTAAAACACAAATAGAATGATTTAAATAGGATTTTAATGAATTTTTGATAAGTGGCTGTTTTAATTTTTAAATTGAGAAGTAATATGTGGAAAATGAAAATATATTCAAATGTATTACAAGGTACATAAACACATAAATATATAAACTGCTTTATAGGTTTCAAAATGTATTTTTATGTATTACCTTATTTGATCTTAACAACTGTTGTATAAGTTTGTCAAATCATATAAGAAAACTGATTCTCAGTGAAATTTTGTGATTAAGAGGACATGCTAGTATTTTATAAAGCTGGGACCAGAACCCAAGTACTGGTACTTGCTTTGTGTCCTGGTTACTATGTATGTTGCCAGCTAGTGGAAGTAACCTACCAATTATTTTTTCTAGGAGATAGGATTGATTTGCAACTGATTTTCCTTTTGCTTGGTGATGTTTTATGACTCTGCTGCAGTTTGTGGAAATGCTGGACTTGGCTCAGTGCTATAAATTGTAGTCAGGGAAATACGAAGAGCTTACACAGAGTCAGGGGATCTTAACTAGACATGCTGTAACCAGTGGAGCTATTCAAGCACGCTACAAGTGAAGAGTGCAGAAATAGTGATGCCATATTAGATTTTCCTACACCAGTATGATCTCTTTTTATCATATATGACATTAAGGCTACAGAAGTTTTGTACATTAATCTTAATTCATATTTATTAATTTCAAAGAAATATTGAAACGTCTTAAAATGGCATAAAGATAATGGAAAATAAGCTTTGTTTCAAGAAGGGCAGACTCACTAATTTTTTAGAAAACAATGCTTCTTAATGATATGCTATTATACTTACTAGGTACGTGCAAGCTTTGTATATAAATATAAAAATTTGTTACAGGCACATATAGTTAAGAGAATTTTATTTTAATAAGATCGTATTGTTTTTACTATATTTAAAGAAACTTTACTTCTGAAGGGAACATAATTATATCTAGGTCACTAGAATGTCATTGTATTTTTTGTTGGCTGCCACAGCTTGGGGAAAAATAGATAAAAATTAATGACTCTATTTGAATATTTTGTAATGCATTGTATATTTATTATATATATATCAACAGTAGTTCAAGGTGGCACTTAATTGCATCTTCATTAGGAAAAATAAAAAGCATAAAACACAATTTCTGGTTACTATGAATAAATGCCTAAATGTTAAGATGATATTACTACAGTCTGACACTTGAGTACTGTATTACTATGTGAGCTCTGTGTTAATTTATGCACATTATTTAATCCTAACAACCGTATGACTGTAGTTATTAGTCCCTATTAACAAATAAGAAAACGGAGAATCGGAGATACTGAAAAACGTGGTCCAGATTTTAGACCTTAGGAAAAAGTCACTTGAGCTAACTAGAGGTCCCAGAGCTAAAGGCTGGGCAGCCCAAATGATAGTCGCCAAAGTTTAATTCCGTTTAATTCCCTAAAAGGCTTAGAGTCAGTCTTTGGACCGCCTCGCTCTCTAGGTGGCTCAAAGTAATCGGAAGCTCGGGCCCTGAGTACCCCTACCTCTCCCCGACCCGCGCAGGCGTTTTCTCCCGCCCCAGCCCCAGTTCGTTTCTCCCTCCTGCCCCGCCCCTGCTCAGTTTCCTTTGGTGCTTCCTTCACTCGCTTGCGACCTTGTCGCCTCGAATGACGTCAAGGCTGCGAGCGCTTTCATTGGTCCATTTCAATAGTCGCGGGATACTTGAACTGCAAGAACAGCCGCCGCTCCGGCGGGCTGCTCGCTACATCTCGGGGTGTCTTTGGCCCGCCACGCCCGGCCGTGCCTTCCTGCGCCTTTCGCAACCTCCTCGACCCTGCGTGGTCTCGAGCTGGGTGAGCGGGCGGGCGGGTAGGCTGGCCTGGGCTGCGACCGGCGGCTACGACTGTTCTTTGGCCGGGTGGGCTGGGCAGAGTGCACGCTGCTTGGCGCCGCAGGCTGATCCCGCCGTCCACTCCCGGGAGCAGTGATGTTGGGCAACTCCGCGCCGGGGCCTGCGACCCGCGAGGCGGGCTCAGCGCTGCTAGCATTGCAGCAGACTGCGCTCCAAGAGGACCAGGAGAATATCAACCCGGAAAAGGCAGCGCCCGTCCAGCAACCACGGACCCGGGCCGCGCTGGCGGTACTGAAGGCCGGGAACCCGCGGGGTCTAGCGCAGCAGCAGAGGCCGAAGACGCGACGGGTAAAGGGATGCGGGATATCTGCAGGAGGGTGGGTCGAGCAGGGTTTGGCACTGGCTTAGCAGGCAGAGAAGAGTGGCGAGAAGGCATGTCCTGGGCTTTTGGAAGGGGGCCAGGGTCTGGAGTCCACTTGGTGCTGGTGTGTGGGATGCCACAATAGGAATCCTCCCATTATTAGCATCAGGACCCCGCCAACACTGTGTGTATGCTGCCTGTCTGCTCTCTATAGGTGGCATCTGCCTGTACATAATGGGGTCAAACCAAGCTCTAAAACGTGTAGTCTTCGCTCAGCTCCGCGCCTTTCTCTCCACTTTTAAACCCCAGGCACTACTGTAGGACTCTGACCCCCTTCCTCCTCACGGTTAAGAGATAACCTCTACTTTAGAAAAGGGTGTACGAAATAACTTTGCTTTTGGCAAATTCCGCCATTTTAGCCGGATTTGCTCTGTTGCTCCACCCTCGGGCGACAGTGGTGAACCAACACTTTTTTGCCCTGTCTTTCCTAAACTTGTCATGTATTGACTTGCCACCCGACCCTTCTTGTGGCCCTGATTAGTTTTGCATAATTCTACCTAGTGTTATCTATTGATAGCCTTTGTGGGAATGCCTGTGACAAATGGGAACATCCCTTCTCTTTTGAATACTCAAACTATTGTTTGTCCCAGAAAGTTTAATTCCTGATAGAGTATTTGGGAGAAAAAGCAAAGGCCAACACCCATAAGAGAAAGAATGCAAAACTATTTAGCAGGCTCAAAGCCAGTTATTTATTTTTGTTTAGGTTGCACCCCTTAAGGATCTTCCTGTAAATGATGAGCATGTCACCGTTCCTCCTTGGAAAGCAAACAGTAAACAGCCTGCGTTCACCATTCATGTGGATGAAGCAGAAAAAGAGACTCAGAAGAAGCCAGCTGAATCTCAAAAAACGGAGCGTGAAGATGCCCTGGCTTTTAATTCAGCCATTAGTTTACCTGGACCCAGAAAACCATTGGTCCCTCTTGATTATCCAATGGATGGTAGTTTTGGTAAGTTTTAAGGAAAATCTATATGAATTTACGGTAATTATAATTATTAGATATTAATGATTTGCATTTTAAGATGTCTTATGTAGTCATTTTGATTACAGTGAGTTAGGTTTAATGTAACAAGGCTTAGAAAGGATGTGACTTATCTCAGATCTCACGGCTAACACTCGACCTGGTGATGTACAAAAGGATCCTAATCTAGTGCTCTTTCAGGTTCACTGCCAGTCACATCAGTCTAATTATAATTAGATCTTAAATGCTTATTTTAATCTGATCCCATAAATGTGTTCTTGGTTGGGAGAATAGATTTCAGTTTTATTTAACTCACTTATATATCACTTAGAGTGTGATATTTGAAGATGCAGTCTTAAATATTGTGATTACATAACATCTCTTCCAGTTTTATAATTTTGTTTCTATAAAACCAGTCTGGATTATCATCTGATACCAGAAAGTGACACTTTTCCTCCTACAAGTAAACAGTTGTACCATAGCTGTTTACTCTTACCCATGTATTAAAGTAGCTGCTGCAAACAGCTCTTTGCAGTTTGTACTGTTTCTTTGCCCTAGGGATATCGAGTCACTGGACAGCTCACTAAATCCAGTCTCATTTTAGTTTTTAGTTGTATTAATCGTGGGGAAGGAGGGGTGAGCAGGAAAAGTCCTTTGGAAATAATAATTTGTGTGTTTTTATCAAAATTTTGCAGAAAATGTTTAATCTCAAGGTGATCTTTGAAGCGAAAAGAATAATAGATGATACTCTTTGCTTCAAAAGATAATTTATACTACAAAAAATAATTTATAGTGTTAATCCATTTGCCCATAACAAACCTAATTTCTTAATAACACTTGTTAATGGAGGCCATTTAACTGATTCTAGCTGTCGCCTACTTGGGCTTTGTATATGTCAGACTCTGGGATCTGCAGTCTCTCTTAGGGCAAACCTTAGATATTATCTCAAAACTTGGATTTTAAGTGTTCTGTCCTAACAGAACCACCATGCCATCTGCTCCTTTCTGTTGTGGAAGATGGATACTTTAAGATAATACCTGATTCTCGTTTTCCTGTTAGGGGCCTACCAATATGGTTTTCTTTCCCCCTTCATTAACTAAAATCATTCCAAAGCTATATGTACAGAGATACTGAGACTAAGGTAAAATATTCTACCTTTTTCGTCATGAGAAGCTCTTTTTAGTTTGATGAAATAAGTGCTTTGTTAATATGAAATTCCTTACAAGGGCAGTCATTTTTAGCTATTAAACTAAGTAGACAAACAATTAATTTAATCATATCTTTTTAATTGTCCCAGAGTCACCACATACTATGGACATGTCAATTGTATTAGAAGATGAAAAGCCAGTGAGTGTTAATGAAGTACCAGACTACCATGAGGATATTCACACATACCTTAGGGAAATGGAGGTAAAGGTTCTCTGAATCCAGTTTGTGTAATGTATTTGTTAAATGTGGCTAAATGAAATTGAGAGGATAATGTTTAAATTTTTAAACTAATGAATTATTCTAATGCTACAGTTAAGTTTATAGCATGTAGCCTCTCTTAATTGTAAAATAATCTAATTGCAATTTTAACACTACTAAATACTTTTCTCAATAGGTTAAATGTAAACCTAAAGTGGGTTACATGAAGAAACAGCCAGACATCACTAACAGTATGAGAGCTATCCTCGTGGACTGGTTAGTTGAAGTAGGAGAAGAATATAAACTACAGAATGAGACCCTGCATTTGGCTGTGAACTACATTGACAGGTTCCTTTCTTCCATGTCAGTGCTGAGAGGAAAGCTTCAGCTTGTGGGCACTGCTGCTATGCTGTTAGCCTCGTAAGTCTACCTTGGTTTGTTTAAAAGTGATCACGATCTTTTGTCTAGGGAAGAAATTGATTTTTAATGGTGACCTTGTAACATACACCAGGCAGAGAGTCAGTGACTACTTTAGGGATGGCAATGTGGTGGGGTTGGGGAAGTGGAGGAGGATGAAACTGTGTTCTAATCTATAACACTGTTTTTCCCCAAACTGGATTCCTTGAAGACGATATAGTGCACTAGGTTAGAAATTTTAAAACATTTTCCTTCCAATATTACTTTCTGGCATATAAGCAGTGTCTCTTTTATTAAGAAGTAAAGGCTGGGTGCGGTGGCTTGCGCCTATAATCCCAGCAATTTGGGAGGCCAAGGTGGGCGGATCACTTGAGGTCAGGAGTTCGAGACCAGCCTGGTCATCATGGCGAAACCCTGTCTCTACTAAAAATACAAAAATTAGCTGGGCATGGTGACACATGCCTGTAATCTCAGCTACTGGGGAGGCTGAGGCAGGAGAATCGCTTGAACCTGGAGCGGGGAGGTTGCAGTAAGTTAAGATTGGACCACTGCACTCTGGCCTGGGCAAGAGAGCAAGACTGTCTCAAAAAAAGACACTAAATTTAAAAATGAAAACATGAAACATGTTTTCCTAAGATTTGTATTTCCTAAATTTTCAGCTACTTGGTGAACTCCGGCATTGTTCCCATCTTGAGAAGTCTGATGCCTTTCATTTACTTCCTTTGACTGAACTGGGAAAAAAATCTCAAAAGTCCTTTATTGATTTGGGCCTTTTAATTAGCAATTAGCTATCCAGTCTTTACTAGAAATGATGATCAAGTGTCTGGAAATGCAGTTGGTATGGATTTTGGATTCATTCCATATATTCTGCTAATGGGATTTCAGAATTGGGATAAGGAAGCTTGCTTCTCTTTTAGGACTGATTACTTAAAACTTTTTTCATTGTAGAAAGTTTGAAGAAATATACCCCCCAGAAGTAGCAGAGTTTGTGTACATTACAGATGATACCTACACCAAGAAACAAGTTCTGAGAATGGAGCATCTAGTTTTGAAAGTCCTTACTTTTGACTTAGCTGCTCCAACAGTAAATCAGTTTCTTACCCAATACTTTCTGCATCAGCAGCCTGCAAACAGCAAAGT